AAAAAAACAAAAAAGAAAAAGAAAAAGAAAGAGAATATAATAGCATCCCATGATATTTGTGTTTCTTTAATTTTGGTACCTCTCCCTCCTTTAGAATCTTCAAAATTAGAGAATATGATGAAAATCAATCTAAAATTTGTGATAAGAAAACAAATATTAGCTAGGCATTTCAAGTATATATTAAAATTAAATAAAGTTATGCTTAGAAGTGATATAGATATACCTAAACCAAATGTTAACTTATTGACTTGATTTAAACAAATAATATGACTGAAAACTTCCATGAGTTGGAAAGTACTATCAATTAAAACACTTGCTTTTGAGGCTTTGACATTTTATTTTATTTTATTTTATTTTTGTCTTCTATAGGCTTAGAGAAGGGAGTTTAAGAGTTTTAACTATTATAAATATTTTATTTAGATTTAGTACTAAAATTTAGATATAATAAAGATGAATAATATCTTAATGAATAGTTATTAAATATGAAAAGTTTTATACACATATTAAAGCTTAACTAGGTTTTTACATGAAGGAGAAAACAAAAGCTACATCTTTTTCTCTTTTTGATTTAATATAAATGTAATAAAAAATAATAATGAAAATGCATGTTACTCCCTTTTAATGCTTCTCTCTCTTCTTCTTTTTTTTTTCAAGTAATTGTTAAATGCATATCCTAATTAATGCATAAGATAGCATTTTATATATATTTAGATTATATTAGATTAGAGTAGATTTAGATAGATTTTGATTTAGATTTCGATTAGATTTAGATTTAGATTATATATATGGTAAGAAGTAACAGAATGTTTATTTACCTAATTAGCATAATTTGTGACCTAATTTGTGCAAATTGTTAACTTTATAAATTTGTAGGTTTGAAGACTAGAGGTATTCATCATATCATTTCTTGCATAAAAAAGAAATACAATAACACCAACTTCCAAAAGAAAAAAAATGGAAAAGCTTTCATTCAAACTAGTTCTCCTAGCTGCACTCATGATATTTTCACTTGGTAAGTAGCTTCTTTTTTGCTATGCCTTTTTTCCTTTTAACACAGTTTTTTTAAATGTTATGATATTTGTGAGTTTTTATATTAATAAAATTTTATTGTAGGTCTACACACTATAACAGAAGCAAGAAATGTGAGTGGGCCATGCCATTCAAGCTCTGATTGTGGTAGTCCAATATGCAAATGCCTTACTACAAGTCCAGGTCAAGGTTTCTGTGTTTGTGGTGCTTCTCTAACTAGATTATTTGAAGAAACCTTGTCCAAGCATCTAAAAGTGCAAAAGGAGGTGCCATGAAAAAGAGGAATTTATTTGCGTGTATTTTGATAAAGAAACCCGTACGTGGAAAATAAAAATGTTGATCAATAATTAATATTTACTTTGGTTTCAAAATCATTTGCCCCTTAAAAACAATAAAAGTTCCATATTTTGTTTTCTAATATCTTCCTTTGTAACACCCTAGCCAATGTTTGGTATAGCTTTATTTTAACCATAAAATGAAAAGGCAAACATAACTTTAATACATTGAGAAATTTCTACAAAATAAGAAGGCGAAGATAGCTTTGAAAAATGGACAACCTCACAAATGTCCTAAATACTAAACCTCAACCCAACTTTTTTTCAGATATTGCATGATCAACTAGTTGCATTATGCCAATATGGGCAAGAAATTTCAAATCTCCTCTTTATGGTAGGAATAATTAAAATGAAAAATATCATTCAAGAACCATTTCTAACATGTAGGATTTATTTCCTTCTAAAAGTCCGAACCTTTACATTCCAACTATAGAAGAAATAACCACTAAAATTCAACAAAAAGCATGCATAAAAAATTGAGGAAAATAAAAAGAAAGTGAGATTGGGGTTAGAAATACACTTAAAATCCATGAAAATCGGAAAAAAGGGAGCTCTGCTTACCACAAATAGATGAAGTTCATGGGGGAAAATAATTGAAAGAAACTCCTTTGAGAAAATCAATTGTTTCCAGCAAGCAAAGCAGAGAGGGAGGTCGGTTGTTAGCTTAGGTGCCTAATTGTTTGCATCTCCTCATCGTATCGTTACTGTTAGTCTTATAGACACCAAGGTCAATTTAGGTCAAATTACAAAAAAAAACTCCCTATTAAGTTTTAGATCACCAAGAAACAGTCACTTGGATTGATAATGTGGTAACATTCAATTTTAAGGGTTTTCTTTTATTAAAGCTAATGAGAAAGATATATAGCATTGGGGAATTGCTGGAATGGCTTGTATATATATATAATATTCAAGCTGATTGCTATACAAACATATACAAGAGAGCATATACGGTGCATCCTAGTAACCCTAGTACAAAAGGTAATATAAGATATGAGTAATATTTACATGTGTATAGAAATAAAGGAATGGAAATCGAAGACTGCTCATGAGATGATTCTTTCCTTAACACTTTGGCTCTCTGTGTTTGATAATTTGCAAGAGATGAAAAAGGAGATTGAACATTTCTTCCATGATCATCCCTTTGTCACTCATTCAAAGATTATAAAGACTATGAACGATTTCGTTGCAGTGGATGGGAGAAAGGCTTATCTAGTCCCAGCTATGGTTGTAGTTACTTTTATGTTTTTCTCCATATATCATGCTCCCAGATTCAATGCCAGATACAACATTACTTTCATCCTTGCTCTTTCGAGCTCACAATAAGATAGGGCTATTGTTGTAATGCTTGTTTTGATCATCGTTCAGGTTTTAGCCTCTACTGTCAAGAGTGTGACTTAGACCTAGCTTCCAATTTGCTGTAACTGTCACCACCGTAAAAATTGACAATGTTGGCTAGAGAGTTAAGGGGGTGGTTGGATTGCTGTGAAAGGTTGTGATTGTAACTATATTTGTAACTGTGTTGAATGTTTTATACTATAACTGTAATTAAAAATTATTTTGATATTTGGTTATTTATTTCTTAAAAGTATTATGAATAAAAAATAATAGATTTTATTAATTATTAATTAAAATTTTAAAAATATTATAAGATATATAATTATTAAAATAGATAATATTTACTATTTTTTAATAGTTAAAGTTTTTTAAATTTGTTATCATTATTATAATATTATAAATTATGATGTAATTAAATTATATGAAATTAGGTTTTAATGGACAATTTTATAATTATATTAAACATTATGTGTTTTCCATAAAAACTATAGTTAGAAAGCTTCAAAATAAGACTTCTAGTTTTATATATATAATTACTGTAAATCTGTTGTGACTTTCTATAGTTTATAGAAAAAACAGTTTGAAAAAAAATGACCAAACACACAAATATCTAAACATACTGTACAACTACACAAAAAAAGCTCTCAATTTAATTCCAAGCACATCCTAAATCTTGTTTGTTGTAAACAGGATAGATCATCATCCTATGGATTATGCATATGGATATTTATCACATTTGTATATCTCTAAGATATGAATAAACT